TTTTCTCCTCTCTGTTAGTCCCGCCTATACTTCCTGCCTAGCCACTGGCCATTCAGTATTTTATTTATTGACCAATCAGAGCAACACATTTGCCATACAGAACATTCCACAGCAGTCACCCAGTACTGGACCTGAGTTCAGTCCTCAGAACCCAGAGAGACAAGGGCAGCAGTAGGCACTCCATCTTAGTGTGATGGTCAACATGTTTCTACTGCAGGTGGATCCCAGCAGCAGACAGTCAGGCCCTGTACCTGGAGGAAGAGACCACTTAGTCCTGGCCTTGTTGTTTGGAAAACTGTGCCATGGTAACAGGTATTTGGTACTTCATAATCTTCAATATTATTCTTATATGATTTCAGTGCAGCATGACTTCTATTATAAAATGTTTTCTTTTAAGTAAATACAACATTAGAAATATTTCTCTGGAATATTAGTTGGAATTTCTTGGTTGCCTAATACACAACCTCATCTGTATATTCCTTCTGCATTGGGTCTCATATAGCCCAAGCTGATCTCAGAATCTCTATATATCAGAGGCTGACCTTGAACTTCTGATCTTTATTCAAAGTGCTCAGTACTAAAGGTTTGTACCACTGGGCTTGGTTTTATGTGGTGCAGGGATTGAACCTGAGGCTTCATGCATGTTGAGCAAATATTCTACCAACTAAACCATATCCCCATCTCAAAACTAGCAACTCAATTGAGGCACGCAGATAAATCAGGAGGAAGGTAGGATGATGCTTGCCCAAAGAAAGACTGGATCCAGGGCCTTAAGCACCACACGGATTGTCTCTATGACTCTGTAAGGGAGGCACAAATGGCTCAAGGCTTCCCCTTTCAGACGGCCGCTCACACAGCTCCACTTTGAAAATTCCCAGGCAAGGGTTGTGTTACTCCATATCAGGCTGTATACCAATCTCTTAAGCCAAACATTATGGCCCAAGAATCAGAAACACAGGAAAAGATGCCCAAGCCATTCTGCCCACGTGACTAGAGTGCAGAAGAGAGAGGTGTAGAGTCCCAGAAAAAGACGATGACGTCTTCAGGGCTCCATCCCAGCGGAATTATCAAGGCAACACTGTGATCCTAGTCAACCAGCTGGTGGCATCTGAACTTGGTATGAGGTTCCAAAGTCAGATGGACGGTGAAACCATATATAGCAGAAACATTTTTAAAAAGCATATTATGACATTATTTGGTCATAAGTACCCAGAGGACTGAAAAAAAAAAAAAAAAGCTTCATTGAAGGAAAGACTATATCTCCAGGCTGATGCTTGGGTTAAACAAGCTTGTTTAGTAGGAATAGAGAGTCAGTGCTCTAAGTAACGCTCATGAAGGTGTACTCTTCTACCACCCCACTGACCATCTATTATCTTAAGGAATATCAATAAAATAATTGTAACAAGAGAGATCGGTGAAAGTCTGCATACAGCATAAGGTTCAGACACAGGAGAAGATGTTCAGCTCAATTCAGCTCTGATCTATCAACCTGGAGATAACATCAGATCCTTCAAGTTGAGGGCTTCATCCCACAAGGCCACCTCTGGCTTCATGTTCCAAGTGCAGGTTGTGACTGACCTGTCCTTCTGATTGGCCAGCTACCAAGTTGGGCCCCATTGACCCCTTTTCTGTTTGATTTATTTGCTAAAGGAGCCCACAGAACCCAGAGAAACACTTCAATTTACCAGCTTATTGTGGAGGATATAACAAAAGATAGCGAGGTCCACAGGCGAGTGTGAGTGCAGGGCATGGGACATTACACTTTCCAGGAACCCGCATGTGTCCAGCTCTCCAGAAGGTCCCATAACCCAGTCCTTTGGACTGTTTATGAAAGCTTTATTATGTAGGCATTAATGATTAAATAAATCATTGGTCATTGGTTTATCAGCTCAACCTTTAGCCTCTTTATCCTCCCCAGAGATACAGTGGCAAGATGGGACTGAAAGTCCCAATCCTCTAATCGCTTGTGTGGTTTCCATGGCAACCAGATCATTCTTGAAACATGGTAAGGACCCCAGCCACCAATCATCTCAACAGGACAGAGAAGACACTCAGCACCTCAGAGGCTCCAGAGACTTTTGGAGCTTTGTGTCAGGAACTTGGAAGGAGGATGGGATGGATATTGTGTAATATCACACATTGAATTTTCTTTCTTTTCTCAAGGTTTTCCTACTTCATTGTTTATTTTATTATAGCTCATTACAGTGTAAGCTCCTGTGAACACGTGCGGCACCTGCTATGTTTATGAGGAAGCTTTTTTGGCTACAGAAACCCAGACGTGGTACAAATGCAGCACACAGCCCCTGGAAATGCCTGGGTTGGAGAGCGAAGCCAACATGGGATTAATTTGATGTAATTCAATCTCTTGGAGAGATTTCCTGATATAATTGCTTTAACATTACACTTACTGATTGGTTAATTTGGACAAAGTGAAAGTCCTTCCTCTCTTTTTTTTTTCTTCCTTGATAAGTGTGAATTAGAATCCTAGGCTGATTTCATAGAGGAGATTAGGTTATTCATTTCACTTTAATGGCCTTCTAGGACTCCAGCTCAATTGTTGGTGAAATTTAACATTGCCCAGTAAGTTGACACCCAGGTTTAATTAGTTTCCTGGGAAAATTATTATAAGGAGGCAAAGACCCAAATGGCAGACCCCATTTAAAAAACACGTATCATATGATATTTATTTTCTTGGGTCACGTCTCCTGCACCAATTTATCTTACCTCTGGGATATATATTCCTCTAAAACAAATAGAACATCCGTGATCTCTACAGATGTTAAAATACCTGCACCCTAGAGTAAGATCCACCATGGACCTCCAAATTAGAGAAAAGGTAGTGTGACATAAACTCACAGAACCAGTTACTCCACCTGGTCAGAGGTGAAGTGGACATGTGCCAGAAACCAGGGCAAAGTCGCATACCCATGTCAGTGACTTTTAAATACAAAGCCAAGATTTACCCTTCCATTTTCTTTTTCTTTTTTCTTTTTTCTTTTGGATGGCCCCCAACTCCTGATGTAGCTAAGGACAGTTTTGGATTTCTGATTCTCTATCTGCCTGCCTCTTGGTAGGAATACAGGCTTGTGCCCTACACCAGGTTTGTGCAGTGCTGAGGGTTAAACCCAGGACTCCATGTGTATTAAACAATGCTCTACTGGTTGAGCCCCATCTCCAGCCCCAGATCCAGCCATTCAGCAACCTAGTCCCTTCCACCTTCCTGCCTAGTTCATGTTGCGATCGCATCCAATCACAGCACCAAGTGAGTCATAATTTATCTGTGTCGGTGTGAGCTTGAGAGTAAAAGGTTCAAGGTAGACAGAGACCTAACGGGTAAGGAGTTCAGGGATGCTGGGGAAGAGTAATACAAGGGCAGGTCAGGAGGAGCAGGACGCTGCAGGGGGTTACCTCATTATAGGGGCAGTGGGAAGCCACTGACAGTGTTAAGGAACTCATCTGATTAGTTACTCACAGGGTTTTCTCTAACTGCTAGATGGAGAAAAGATCGGTAGACAGTGAGGTAGAAGCCTCTCAGATTTCCACCTGAGCCGCTAAGGGAGACAATGGACCAAAGGCAGGTGTTTGGGTTGTTTTGTTGTTTGTTTGGAGAGCATGGGGGCAGAGGATGAACTTTTCAGACACATGGAATGTGTGACGTCTGGAGCACAGAATGTTAATTAAGTCGAGGCATCAAAACAGAGACCACAGCCTGGGTCACTTAAGCAACAAACAGCAGGTTTCTTAAGGTTCTGGAGGGTAGGAAGAGTAGGTCTAATTCTGAAGCCTTTTTTTTTAATACTCTGTACTTTAAATCTGCATTATGACATTGTACATGTTGTACCTAGAGTCCCCTAAAGACCACCAAGAGACCAAATCCGAGGCAAAACCAAAGAGTCTTTGTATTGTTACAAGTTAACTTGGGACTCTGTCTGTCTGACGCAGCAGCAGAGCAGGAGAGACCCTGAGCAGCAATGGGGCAGGGTTTTTAAGGCAAGGGGGACTTGGGGTCTACGGACTTCATAGGAACAGACTCAGGATGGGTTTATGCCAGTGGCAATCATGTTAGTAACTTTTAATTGGCTAGGGTTAGTTGGGGGTCACAGTTACCATTTTTGGGCAGGCCTGGACAAGTCCCAGGCTTTGTCCTTGAGCTGCCATGGAGGCTGACTGGCCTAGCACATACTGACTGTGGGGGCTGACTCAGTGGCCCAGGCTTTCACAATGACCCATGCATGTAGCTCTAAGTTGGTAAGGGGTCCCAGCCAATAAACAATTGGCTGATGTTTGAGCAGTCAGAGTACGTGCAGAAAGGGAGCAAGGACTATGTCTTTTGTTCATGGCCCTCCCAGAAACTGCTTGCTCAAGTTTCAGGAAATTGAAATTGAGGCCTCATCTCTGAGAGAAGACTGAGCAGCCTGTTATGGCGTCTGCTTGGTCCTTTCAGTACATAGGGTAAAAACCATTGTGAAAGACCTGTGTAGACTGTATTAAGTACTGTAGCAGGAATCTTAGAAGGTCTTATTAATAAAAACATATCCAGGCTGGGTATTGGAGTGAATGCTGGAAGATCAGAGAAGCAGAACAAGCCACAGCCACCTCACCTTGCCAATTCCTCAGCTGATCCTGTTTCCTCAGACTGGAAGGCTCTGTGTCGTCCGAATGGATCTCAGCTAAACTGCTGGTAAAAGCCTGAATGCTTAATCAACCAAAAGCTTCTAGTTTTTGGTCTTCACGCCTTATATACCTTTCTGCTTTCTGCCATCACTCCCTAGGATTAAAGGCTCACTTCTTGGGATTAAAGGCATGAGTCACCATGCTTGGCTGTATCCTTGAACAGATGGATTTCTGCCCCTGGAATGCTAGGATTGAAGGCGTGTGCTACCACTGCCTATCCTCTATGTTTAATATTGTGGCTGTTCTGTTCTCTGACCCCAGACAAGTCTATTAGCGTGCACAATATTTCAGGGAACACAATAATAGAAAACTCAGGCCTCAGGAAAGACTCCAACCTGGTAACTACATCAATATTGACTCTTTGACCCTTGACCCTTGTCCTACCAACAGCCCTCTCTACCACAAGTGTAGGCTACTTCCAATCATTTCAGGCTCCCTTTCTCAGTGAACTCAGGCTTCAGCTGCCAGGAATAGTGGTAAGGCCTGGGCGAAGGTCACACTTGGTAAAGCCTGGTGTCCATCATACCGCTGTGCTACACCATGGGCTCCGAGCTTCCCCCTCTGCGGTGTCTGGAGGAATCCAGAGCCCTGTACATCCGTCCTAGTGTAAGGGAAGAGTCGCCACCTTCGGCTGGCCCTCTGCACTGCTCTGCTGCCCTTCCTCGTCCCTCTGGTCATTTCCTCCTCCCACCCCCTCGCTTTCACTTCATCTCTACTCTCTAATCCTCTGCCTTTCTTTCCCCTTTGCTAATAGAAGAGAAACTATTCAAGCTTGGCGGAGAAAACAGAAGCCGTCTAAGAAGCATTCCTTGACTTCCTGAATCTTAATCTTTAAGTGGACCCATGCCCCCACCCTGTTCCAATGGGAAAATCCCCTTCTTTCTAAGGCTTGTATTTCCTCCTATTTTCTGCTCCCAGTCTCTTCTGCCTCCTCAAGAACTTCTCCCTCCTGTTGTCCCCTGTCTTTAAGTTCTAGAACCTTCTTTTCTCTGCTGCAGCCTCCTCACCCCACGTTGCCTTGAACAGCTACATCCTCTGGAGGCAGAACTTCTCATCCAGGATCTGCCAGGAACTACTGGTCTACCTCTTTCCTTCCCCTAAGAGTCACACAGGAAAACACTGGTCCATACTGTTCTGTCTGCTTGCCTTTTCCTACTCGCTCCTCCTGCTGGGGTCCACTGAAGGACGCCTGCTACAGCCACCATGACCTCGGAGTCGCGAAGTCCAATAAACACTCTGGTTTGCTTGATTTCTCTTCAGTGTCTCAACTCGTAGCCCTTGGAGGTGTCTGACCTTTGGACATTGTGATATGACCCTGTCGTTTACAAGTGAAGCTTTTCTCTCCCACTGACCCTTGGGACATCACCCTTTACTGAGTTTTCCCACGTGTCTGTGGCAACTACTTCTCAATCTGTGTTCACTTTCTGCTTTTCTAAGAGAATGTAGGAAACCAGATATCCTTGTTAAAAGTCTGGCACTGACTCCGCCTCTATATGGTCCTTACGGCGATTCACATCTATAGTATCCGGATGATCAGCCCTAAGAGGGAAAAATTCTAGCATGTGTCTGTCTAAGTCAGAAGTAGAGCAAGGAAGGAAAATAACACTTAGATGTTTATTATAAGATGCCAGACATTCTTTAGACACATTTTATACATGTTACTTTACCTAATTTTTATGATTATACTGAGGTAAATATTATCAACATCATTTTTACAAACGATGAAATTATTTAACCATCCACAACCACAAAGCTAATAAGTAGAAGAGGTAGAATTTAAACCCACCTCTTCTGAGTCCTACGACTCTCTTTTCTGTGGTAGCAACTGGCTTGCTGGGATTCAGTGGAATATACGAAGGGCTCTGTGATGGTTAGTTTTAATTATCAAGTTGGCACATAATAATCACCTGGGAAGAGAACCTCAATGAGGAGTTATCTAGATTAGGCTGGCCTGTGGGCTTGTCTGTGAGGAATTGTCTTACGTTAATTGGTGCAGGAGACCCTAACCTAACAGTGGGTGGCGTGTTCCCTGGACTGGGTTTCAGAGTGTATGTTAAAAAGGAGAATGTGAGCTGAGAGCATGTATCCATCCTCTCTCTGCTGTGAGCTGTGGGTGTGACGATGACCATCTGCTTCAAGCTCCTACTGCTTGCTGGCTAGGACTTCCCTGCAAGAATGGTCTGTGACAGAGAGTCGGGAGCTAAACAGACCCTTTCTTGTCAGGCTCTCTTATTACAGCAACGAGAAATGAAAAGAAGACAGTCCCTTAAGAGGGTGACTTGGGGGAGAATGTCTTGCAGTCATTTGCATGGCGCTGGACTTGATCTGACCAGCGTCATGAGGGACACATGTACAGAAAAGCTGGGACCTGGTGGGCCGTGGGCTCTGACGGAGACACACCAGTAGCCTGCAGACTCAACTTGTTTATTTGATGCATCTGGATCAAGAAGGCAGCAGTATTGTACACGGCTGAATACGGAGGCAGGTTTAGCTAATCTCAGGAGGTCTCTTTGGGGGAACAGTCTCAGGATGCAGAAATCCAAGAAGAGGAGGCTGTAGCTGATAGTGTCTGTAGACTGACTCAGCATTCACACTGGGACCAGGGAAAGGCCTTGCCATTCCCTTGGGTCTGAGCCATCTGGGGTCCTTGACGTGGCTGTGCCCATGTCAACAATATACATTGACCCAGGACTCTGTCCAGTCTCCACACAGGGAATCAGTGGCCTTGCTGGTGACCTCCGGGCAAGACTTTCCAATATAGCAGTATGTCTGAGAAGATCAGAGGCAGGATAAGGCCTCAGCTCAGCAGACAGAAGCAGACAAGCCTCACACCATATGAACCCTGAAGACGACTGTGTAGAGAAGAATGCAGCTCGTGTAACTATTAGACTCTAGTATGCACTCACTGATATATCCCAAGCCGGGGAAATTTCTTTATGAGAACTACACTTCTAATCAGCAAGGTCCTGGGCAGGCAGCTGAGCTAGGGAATCAGGAGCAGAGAGTGGCCCTGATCCTCTCTCTTGCCAGAGCAATTACCCGATCATCTTTAATAATAAAAGGGGAAATGGGGAAACAAGTGTCCCATACTCTTCATCATGGATCAGGCAGGCGCTCACCCCAGAAACTGTAGATTGACCCTCATTCCGCCTTCTTCCACCATGTATGGTTTGGGGCACATGGCAAACCGTTGGAATAAAAACATTGCTGGTGCTTTGAGTCAGAAACAATGGTAGACTGTGTTGAAGCCCTGTACCTCCAAGAGCTCCAGGAACACGATTTCTTTTTGTTTTGATCACACACTGTCCCCAAGGCCTCGCTACTCAGCCCTCGCAGGGAAACAGCTGCCATTTGCATCCGATCAGCTGTGTCTGCTTGCAGGGGACGGTGACCAGCAAGCTGGCCTGTTGACTGCCATCATGCCTTCAGGGAAGGAGGCAGCAGGGCGGTCGCTGGCCCTCACCTGAGATTCCAGCTGCTCCCCTCTGCACTTCTCCCCACTTGTACACCATTCTGGCCTGACTGCACGAGGCCTCAGAATCTTGGGAGGTGACGTATGCAGGCTGGAAAAGGTTAATGGAAGGAAGACTCTATCCATGTGGCTATGGGGAAGACTTTCTTGCTCTGCGTTCCCCACAGTCCTGTAACTAGCCTCTCATCCATGCTCTGTAAGTAAGCACAGTAAACCCATTGGTTCCCCAGGGTGAACTTAGATGGAATTGTACTTTGGTTTGTGGTTGGAGCCATAAAAGGAGGGAGTGGACATGTTATGTCTCCATAGGGAAGGAATTCTCACAACATGGCTCAAACTTTCACAGTAGTATAGTAGCCCAGGCAGTGTCTGAGAGCGTGTGAAGGGGGTGGACGTCCAAACGGGCCAGTTTATGTTTGGATAACATGGCACTGATATGGACTTATGTCAGCTAAAACATGGCTGACACTGCAGGTCTGGGGAACCCAAAAGTAAACAGAGATGTAACATTGTATTCCCTTTCCTGGCAGAATGTCACTTTGTAGAGATTTCATATGAATAAAGCCTCAGGGTCAGAGGTTTGCCTTCCTGTGAGTCTGTGCTCACTTGTAAGTGAGTTGGGCTTGCTGGCATGTGTCTGGGTGCCTGCCATCATCTGTCTGCCTAGTGTCCAGTTGTCTTAGTCACTGTTATTGCTGTGAAGAGACACCATGACTATGGCAACTCATGAAAGAAAGCATTTAGTTGGGGGCTTGCTTACCGTTCTAGAGGACTGGTCCACAATCGTCATGGTGGGAAGCAGATAGGCATGGTGCTGGAGCTGTAACTGAGAGCTTTACATCCTGATCCACAGGCAGCAGACAGAAAGAGAAACCTTGGGCCTGGGGTGGGCTTTTGAAACTTCAAAGTCCACCTCTAGTGGCACACCTTGGCCAACAAGGCCACATCTCCTAATCCTTCCCAAGCAGTTTATTAACTGGGGACCAAAATTTTAAACATACGATCCTATGGTGGTCATTTTTCAAACCACCACACCAATGTACTGGTGAATAAAATGTCTTATCTGCGTACAACTCCTTAAATTATCTTCAGCCCCCTGGCATCCCTAGGTTCACTTCCTTTCCTGATTGTAGTGCTTAGACCCCACTGTGGTGGTAATCTAATTGTACTGAAATATTATTTTGATTGTATGTTAATAAATAAAGTTGTCCGGGGTCAGAGCTATTAGAGCCATAGCAAGAGTGTGGCGGTGGTGGCACACGCCTTTAATCCCAT